AAGATATTCCGCAAGAAGAGCAACCCCAAGGCACATAATCGTCAGATTCAACAGGGTTGAAATAAAGGAGAGAATACTAAGGGCAGCCAGAGAGAAAGGTCGGGTTACCCACAAAGGGAAGCCCATCAGACTCACAGCAGATCTCTCGGCAGAAACACTACAAGCCAGAAGAGAGTGGGGGCCAATATTCAACATTCTTAAAGAAAAGAACTTTCAACCCAGAATTTCATATCCAGCCAAACTGAGCTTCAGAAGTGAAGGAAGAATAAAATCCTTTGCGAACAAGCAAGTACTCAGAGATTTTGTCACCACCAGGCCTGCTTTACAAGAGCTCCTAAAAGAGGCACTACACATAGAAAGGATCAATCAGTACCAGCCATTCCAAAATCACACTGAATGCTAAAGAGCTTCAACATAATGAAGAATCTACAACAACTAACAGGCAAAACAGCCACTTAGAATCAAAATGGCAGTATCAAATTCACACATAACAATATTAACCCTAAATGTAAATGGACTAAATGCACCAATCAAAAGACACAGACTGGCAAATTGGATAAAAATCCAAAACCCATCAGTGTGCTGTATCCAGGAAACCCATCTCACATGCAAGGATACACAAAGGCTCAAAATAAAGGGATGGAGGAAGATTTACCAAGCTAATGGAAAGCAAAAAAAAGCAGGAGTTGCAATTCTCATCTCTGATAAAATAGACTTTAAAGCAACAAAGATCAAAAGAGACAAAGAAGGCCATTACATAATGGTAAAAGGATCGATACAACAAGAAGAGCTAACGATCCTAAACATATATGGACCCAACACAGGAGCACCCAGATACATAAGGCAAGTTCTTAATGACTTACAAAAGGACTTAGACTCCCACACAATAATGGTGGGAGACTTTAACACTCCACTGTCAATACTAGACAGATCAACCAGACAGAAAATCAACAAGGATACCCAGGGCTTGAACTCAGACCTGGAGCAAGCAAACCTGGTGGACATTTACAGAACTCTCCACCCCAAATCCACAGAATACACATTCTTCTCAGCACCACATCACACCTACTCTAAAATTGACCACATAATTGGAAGTAAAGCACTGCTCAACAAATGCAAAACAACTGAAATCATAACAAACAGCCTCTCAGACCATAGTGCAATCAAGTTAGAACTCAGAATTCAGAAACCGAACCAGAACCGCACAGCTTCATGGAAACTGAACAACTGGCTCTTGAATGTTGACTGGGTAAACAACGAAATGAAGGCAGAAATAAAGAAGTTCTTCGAAACCAATGAGAACGAAGACACAACGTGCCAGAACCTCTGGGACACATTTAAAGCAGTCTCTAGAGGAAAGTATATAGCAATAAGTGCCCATATGAGGAGAATGGAGAGATCCAAAATTGACACCCTATCGTCAAAATTGAAAGAGCTAGAGGAGCAAGATCAAAAAAACTCAAAACCCAGCAGAAGACAAGAAATTACTAAGATCAGAGCTGAGCTGAAGGAGATTGAGACACGAAAAACCCTTCAAAAAATCAATAAATCCAAGAGCTGGTTTTTTGAAAAGATCAACAAAATAGACAGACCACTAGCCAGATTGATTAAAAATAAAAGAGAGAACAACCAAATAGATGCAATAAAAAATAATAAAGGGGAAATCACCACAGATTCCACAGAAATTCAAACCATCATCAGAGAATATTACAAACAACTCTATGCACATAAACTAGTAAACCTGGAAGAAATGGATAAATTCCTGGACTCCTGTGTCCTCCCAAGCCTAAACCAGGAGGAAGCTGAAACTATGAATAGACCAATAACAAGGTCTGAAGTTGAGGCAGCAATTAAGAGCCTACCTCACAAAAAAAGCCCAGGTCCAGATGGGTTCACAGCCGAATTCTACCAGACACACAAGGAGGAGCTGGTACCATTCCTTCTAAAACTATTTCAAACAATCCAAAAAGAGGGAATCCTTCCCAAATCATTTTATGAGACCAACATCATCCTGATACCAAAACCTGGCAGAGACCCAACGAGAAAAGAAAACTTCAGGCCAATATCCATGATGAACATAGATGCAAAAATCTTCAATAAAATATTGGCAAGCCGATTGCAACAGCAAATCAAAAAACTTATTCATCATGATCAAGTAGGATTCATCCCAGGGATGCAAGGCTGGTTCAACATACGCAAGTCTATCAACGTAATTCACCACATAAACAGAACCAAAAACAAAAACCACATGATTATCTCAATTGACGCAGAGAAGGCATTTGACAAAATTCAACAGCCCTTTATGCTAAAAACCCTCAATAAACTCGGTATCGATGGAACGTATCTCAAAGTAATAAAAGCTATTTATGACAAACCAACAGCCAATATCATACTGAATGGGCAAAAACTGGAAGCATTCCCTTTGAAATCTGGTACTAGACAAGGATGCCCTCTCTCACCACTCCTATTCAATATAGTACTGGAAGTTCTAGCCAGAGCAATCAGGCAAGAAAAAGAAATAAAGGGTATTCAAATAGGAAAGGTGGAAGCCAAATTGTCTCTATTTGCAGACGACATGATAGTATACCTAGAAGACCCCATCGCCTCAGCCCAAAAACTCCTGAAACTGATAAACAACTTCAGCAAAGTCTCAGGATATAAAATCAATGTGCAAAAATCACAAGCATTCGTCTACACCAATAACAGACTTAAAGAAAGCCAAATCAAGAGCGAACTGCCATTCGCAATTGCTACAAAAAGAATAAAATACCTTGGAATACAACTCACAAGGAACGTAAGGGACCTCTTCAAGGAGAACTACAAACCACTGCTCAACGAAATCAGAGAGGACACAAACAGATGGAGAAACATTCCATGTTCATGGTTAGAAAGAATTAATATCGTGAAAATGGCTATACTGCCCAAAGTAATTTACAGAATCAACGCTATCCCCATCAAGCTACCATTGACTTTCTTCACAGAACTGGAAAAAACCACCATGAACTTCATATGGAACCAAAAGAGAGCCCGCATAGCCAAGTCAATTCTAAGCAAAAAGAACACAGCGGGGGGCATCACACTACCGGATTTCAAACTATACTACAAGGCTACAGTAATCAAAACAGCATGGTACTGGTACCAAAACAGAGATATAGACCAATGGAACAAAACAGAGGCACCGGAGGCAACACAACATACATACAACTATACAATCTTTGATAAACCTGACAAAAACAAGCAATGGGGCAAGGATTCCATGTTTAACAAATGGTGTTGGGAAAACTGGCTAGCCATATGCAGAAAGCAGAAGCTGGACCCCTTCCTGACACCTTACACTAAAATTAACTCCAGATGGATTAAAGACTTAAACATAAGACCTGGCACCATAAAAACCCTAGAAGGAAATCTAGGCAAAACTATCCAGGACATAGGAGTAGGCAAGGACTTCATGAACAAAACACCAAGAGCATTGGCAACAAAAGCCAAAATAGACAAATGGGACCTAATGAAACTCCACAGCTTCTGCACGGCAAAAGAAACAGTCACTAGAGTGGATCGGCAACCAACAGAATGGGAAAAAATTTTCGCAGTCTACCCATCTGACAAAGGGCTGATATCCAGAATTTACAAACAACTCAAGCAGATTTACAGGAAAAAAACAAACAAGCCCATTCAAAAGTGGGCAAAGGATATGAACAGATACTTTACGAAAGAAGACATATATGAGGCCAACAATCATATGAAAAAATGCTCATCGTCACTGGTCATCAGAGAGATGCAAATCAAAACCACATTGAGATACCATCTCACGCCAGTTAGAATGGCGATCATTAAAAAATCTGGAGACAACAGATGCTGGAGAGGATGTGGAGAAAAAGGAACACTTTTACACTGTTGGTGGGAGTGTAAATTAGTTCAACCATTGTGGAAGACAGTGTGGCGATTCCTCAAGGCCTTAGAAATAGAAATTCCATTTGACCCAGCAATCCCATTACTGGGTATATATCCAAAAGACTATAAATCGTTCTACTATAAGGACACATGTACACGAATGTTCATTGCAGCACTGTTTACAATAGCAAAGACCTGGAATCAACCCAAATTCCCATTGATAATAGACTGGATTGGAAAAATGTGGCACATATACACCATGGAATATTATGCAGCAATCAGAAATGATGAGTTCGTGTCGTTTGTAGGGACATGGATGAATCTGGAAAACATCATCCTCAGCAAACTGACACAAGAACAGAAAATGAAACACCGCATATTCTCACTCATAGGTGGGTGATGAAAAATGAGAACACATGGACACAGGGAGGGGAGTACTAAACACTGGGGTCTATTGGGGGGAAAAGGGGAGGGTCAGTGGGAGGGGGAAGTGGGGAGGGATAGCCTGGGGAGAAATGCCAAATGTGGGTGAAGGGGAGAAGAAAAGCAAAGCACACTGCCATGTGTGTACCTACGCAACTGTCTTGCATGCTCTGCTCATGTACCCCAAAACCTATAATCCAATAAAAAATTAAAAAAAAAAAAAAAAAAGAATCAAGCATATTAATAATAATGATGGGTTCCAACTGAGTATGTAGATAGACATTGACTATTAGATCTTACTAAATTTCTAAATAAAAACTTTTTAAAAATAAAAAAAAATAAAAAAAAAAAAATAGATTTTTAAAAATCAGATCTATGGACAACTGCCTGCCAAAAGCAGCATATCAAATAAATTTCCATGACAGACTATCCACATACATGCATACACACGCACATGTGTATACAGCCACACATGCACACACACATAAACACACATATGCATGCATGCACACATCTACACCCGCATACATCCATGCACACATCCACACGTAAGCATGCGTCCACACATCCACACACGCATGCACACACACATGCATGGCCTGGCCCAAAATTCTGTTCTCACAATCTAGAAAGCCATGGACACCAGGTGGCAGAGCACAGTGGGAAGGCCAGGCTAAATGTCATACCTATTTTCTTGCTGCGCTCTTCTCCACGGTTGTGTGCAATAATTGGTGAATAGATGAAGGGACTTTTGGTTGACATGTTCTGACCCAGCAAGCTTTTCATCTTGTGTGGCCGGAGGCTAGCAGGGAGGTTCAACAGTTTCACATGCCTGTTGTTTCAAAGAGAACACAAATACTTCAACTGTCTTGTTAGCTTGATGTCAGGATAAACACAGCCAAACATGATGTGTCAGAAAAACAGTAAACCACTCAGAAGGAAGATAAACGCAGGGAGGCAGAGCGCCCCGAGTCGCCGACAGGGCAGGAAAGCATTGCAACAGTGACTCAAGACTCTCCCAGGGAGGGAAACCACTCCTTGGAACTCAGGGAGAAGCCACCTCCCTCTGGGGGCTCCTGAACTTGGCCCAAGGATGGTCTGGAGTCAGAAAGGTTAGCTTGAAATCTCGCTGCACACTTACTGGCGGTGTGCCTTTGGGCACGTGCCTTGCCGTCTCTAAGATGTAGGTTCCTTGTCTATAAAGTGCAGGTGGGGCCACCACCTTCCTGTGGACCCCTGGGGAGGATTCAGCTAAAGACTCCTGGCACAGGGCCCACTGCTCAGCCCAAGTTGGCTCTCCTCTGCCTCTCCCTTTCCCCAGGGACCTGCCCGTAGCAAGTGGCAGCCAGTCCCTGACCCAGGGGAAGAGAAAGCATCCATGGGGTCAACAGCACCCTCTGCTTTCCTCGCATGCATGACTGCTCTCCAGCAGCAGCTTCTGCCTCTGACATTGCTTTCCCAGCTGTGGATGTCTGCCAGTCTATACTCATGCTCGAATCCACCCAGCTAGCATCAAGGTAAATTCACCAATCTGTGGAGCGTGAGCATGTGCAGGCACCGTGCTAACTGCATATGTGTTATCCCACTTAAACATACAACCACTGTCTCAGTTTGGGTACTATTAATATTGTCTCCATGTTATCAATAAGGGAATTCACACAAGAGGGACGAAGTATATTGCCCCAAATCCCATGGCTGGAAATCGATAATAATAGGTGACACTATGCTCTTAAGCCACAACACAAGAAGGTGCTGTCACCCTTGTGACCAGTTGGGAAGAGGGTGGTTAAGATCTGGAACACTCCTAGACGTGAGATGGAAAGGACAAGGTTAGAGGTGGGAAAATGGGAAGACCAACCGTGACACTGACCGTGATACAACTACGTGCTCCCCAGCCCCTGCCTCGCAGCCTCCGCAGGAAGGTGAGGCCCCCTGAGGAGCTATGGCCCGTAGGCTGTGAGTCGGAGCCACAGAAGCCTGTGTGAGACACAGCACTTTAGAGTGACGGGCCAGCCTCCAGCTCTGTTCTTTGGCCGCACGGTCATGGCAATCCTGGAGGCCGAACATTGAGAAGGTGCAGCACCAGACAGGCACGGCCTGGAGCACTGAGCAACCTCCCAGAGCTCAGCTGCCCGGAGAGCCGCCCAACCTGAATCAAACTTGAGTGAGTGGGGCAGAAACTGTTGTTACAGTACATCACGAAGATTTCGGGGTTAATTTTTCTGCACAGGGCACCCTAACCTATACTGAGTAATAACGACTGCCTTACAGAATCCACAAAACCACCACCTCCCTCAGCAAAGAGGGAACTCAGATGCCTCGTTCCATCCTGCCCTGTGCAAAGCAACCTATAATACTCGGCAGACCATCCCCGCCAGTGACCCACATCCCAGCCCCAGGGAGCCTGCCAGGTGTGTGGTTCTCACCCACCACCCTCAGTGACCCAAGGCAGGAGATGGTGCTAACTCTCCAGACCAAGGGCACACCCAGCACGTGCTCCCCGGCTCCCTTCGCTTTGAGTGCACCCTTCGCTATGCCTTCATTCTAGAGGATCAGAACCATTTCATCTTTTATCTGTTTCCGCTCAGCTGTGAGCCTGCTGAGGACAGGGGCACCGGGGCCTTATTTGTCTCTAGCTGCAGAACTAATAAAATTGTACTTGGCCTGTGAAGCTGCCAACAGTAAAGCAGCAGCCCAGGGATAAAGCATCCAAGACAATGGCGATTTTGACAGATTCCATTTGGAAACTGCTGACACTGTAAAAACCTGACTTCCCCCCAGAACAGCAGCCACCGGGGGCCGTGCACAGCACTGCAGAGCGCTGATCAGGAAAGCGACGCAGGATGAACTCATCGAGAGGAATGACAGTCAAAAACCACCCGCCTTTTGTTTCCTGGTTCTTAATTCATCAACTTTCTTCCCAGGGAAATATATCTAAGAAGAGGCGGGCGGGCTACAGCTGGCCTCAGCTGCCTCATGTGTGTGACAGCGTGGAGGCCACTTGCTCGGAATCCGAGTAGCAGAGCGAGCTGGAAAGGGCGACGGCGCCAGCTGTAGTTGCGAGACGGGGCCCGCCACTCCCTCCTGAATGTCGCTATATGTTCATCATCAGCTCCTGACAGCTCCGCTTTAAGAAATTCTTAAGGAAGGTTATGGCTTGGCCAGTAGACCATCTATGGGAAGAAACCCTGGACAGTGGCATCAACACAGTCATGGAGGCTGCCTCCTGACTGGCGTCTGGGAGGCCGGGGCACTGCCCTGAATTTGGGCCTCTAAACACCTTTCTGAAATAAATGCCTAGAATCCTTCATCAGACAGTAGAATTAACTTAGAAGTCTCAGTTTTAAAAGGATCAAAGCAACTCGAAGCTCACTCTGACTGCGGGATTTGGGTCTTTGTCCATGTAGATGCCTTCATCAACCCTCGAGCTCTTTTCCAGGTTGAAGGAGCTCAATGTTAGCTCTTAAAAACACCAACAGTCAATGATTCCCACTTCTCCATATCACTGCCCCCAAATTAAAGACTCCCTGGTTCACTGGAAACAGCACTGCAACTTACTCCAAGTCCTTAACAATAACCCATGACTGACAGTGTATTAATACCTACACACTTACCAGGGGCCTGACAGTCTACTGTTGGCTACTGTGCACACGCTTCATCATTTTTGTGGAGAATTCCATAAGTAATGAAATAGCATCGCTCATAGTTCTATCAGAACCATCCTCTGCATTCAGTCTGGACAACAGCAACGGGATGTGGGCTTAGCCGCCCCGGCCCGTGAGATCATGCTTGGCCACCACTAAATCCTCGCAATCAGCCTTGGGCCAAAAGCACATCTTAGGCACTCAATAAATACTGGATTAACTGAATTCTGGAACAGAATTAACATAGGGATGCATTCTGGCTCCTTTTTTTATTACTTGCATCATAATTACTTGAAACCATCTCTGGGTGAGCCTAGTTCATGTTCCCACGCTACAGAGAATAAGTAAGTATTTTCCTGTAAATTGCTAAAATAGTTTTATTGTCAAACACTAAGAAAGGCCTCAAGGGAAAAGAAAATGGTTCTGATCATCTATTCTAAAAACAAATACATAATGATGAGGCATCTTCAGCAATAAATTTGCTTATATCTAACGATTCTATATATAGCAGGTCTGATAATTTACTCACCAATGTAGGCATTTTTCCACCAGCTTATCCTGTAACACTAACAAGAAGTTTTAGCCTTCAAGTCCACATACTACTGTGTTCCTCTTATGTCATAGGGGTTGACCTGCCATGCCTGACTTGGTTTTTTTTTGGGGTGGGGGGGGGTTGAGACAGTCTCACTCTTGTCACCTAGGCTAGAGTGCAGTGGCACAATCTCGGCTCACTACAACCTCTGCCTCTCAGATTCAAGCAATTCTCTTGCCTGAGTAGCTGGCACTACAGGTGCTCGCCACCACACCCAGCTAATTTTTGTGCTTTTAGTAGAGACGGGGTTTCACCATCTTGGCCAGGCTGATCTTGAACTCCTGACCTCCGGTGATCTGCCCGCCTCGGCCTCCCACACTGCTGGGATTACAGGAGTGAGCCACTGAACCCAGCCCAATTTTTTTTTTTTTAATTAAACTGGTAAAATCCATGTTTCCAGGCATAGGACTTTGGAACGTTTGGGTGATATATGAAGTAGTCCCAGACTTGTTTTCTAAGAAAGCACCTTGGCCTAATCCATAGTGACTGCCCCGGCCTCCCTTCAGGTGGAGATGACGAACAAGGATTCAGGAAGAGGAGACAACCCGACACATTGTGTGACTATTAACCATGGCCTGCCATGGGCCAGGTGCTGAGAGCACCAACAACACAGGCCCACCACCCTGGGTCAGCATCAGCAGACACCTACAGCTCTTTTTGATGCCTGAGAACATAACTCTGAATTCTCTGCTGCCCCACTCCTGCCAAAAGCCCACTTATGAGGAATGGCATTCATAAAGGAGTATACAATGCACAGCACCCCCTGCCAGCACGCCCCCCACCCCATTATCCTAGACGCTCGCACCGGGGGGCTGCGGCAAGCCAGGCAACTGCGGGCCACACCACCTTGTCCTCTGGGAGAGCCGCCTTTATTCCTGGTGCTCCAGCACCACGCCCTCAGTGTGTGCTACTGAATGCTAACAGCAAAACCACATCATTGTTAGACACCTGCCTACGTCTTCATAGGGATGCTACTTAGCATGTTGCTCAACACATCAGAATGTTCTTGGGGTTTCCCACCTCACTGCTGGTAAGAGAAGCATTTCCCCAGTGTGACTGGAACATGTGTGTTCATGAGAGACAGAGGTACTTATCTCTCATGAATCACGCTTCCTTCTTGTCAGTTACCTCAGAATCATGCTCTCTCGCATCTCCAGCCATTACATAGGACATTACAATGTCCAGGTACTAACAGAACTTGTCACTTTAGTTTTCTATCCCACAGTTACTTTCCCTTCACTCTTGTTACTTTAACTTGTTCTTTGAGATAGAGTCCCATTCTGTCACCCAGGCTGGAGTGCAGTAGTGTGATCTCTGCTAACTGCAACCTCCACTTCCTGGGTTCAAACAATTCTGGTGCCTCAGCCTCTCAAGTAGCTGGGACTGCAGGTGCATGCTACCACATCCAACTAATTTTTCATATTTTTGGAAGAGACGAGGTTCTGCTACATTGGCCAGGCTGGTCTTGAACTCCTAAGCTCAGGCAATCCACCTGCCTCAGCCTCCCAAAGTGTTGGCATTACAAGTATGAGTCACCGTGCCCACCCAAGAATTTTTAAAAATAACTAAATAGCTACATAGTCACATTTCTTGAGG